CAAGAGTATAATTACAACTCCCTCGCGCACCAAAACAGAAAAAATATCTCAAATTTCCTTCTCACTCACGATTCTCTGCGGTTTCCTTCTCAATCTCGATTTCCTTCTCAACCTCGATTTTCATATCAGTTCGAATTTCTATTTCATCATCCGATTAGGTTAAACTCAGGTTTTTTATTGATCTGATAAACATACCCAACTGCATATCAAAATATCCGGAGGAAAAAGTCGATCAAAATCATCACATTCGTAAGGTTCATGAGATTTGTCTGCAAATGTCGGCAGAAGCAGCTTTACTGGAGATCGAAGCAACTCCAGTTGCGACATTGATGGAAGAAGGTGTACCGATTTTATCTTTTTCCAAATCGATTCATAGAATTTTAAATAAATACGTGCTTCTGAATTCAACATTCATGTGAATCGAGTTATTTAATTAGATCGATCACATTATATTAAGACAACTGTTCGTGCTTATCTGCAATTCTGATTTGGAGGTAGAATCTCTGTTTTCTAATAAGCATATTACATATGTTGTGGTTTATGAATACATGTGCATGGAGAAATAACTAAATATGCGATATGTATTAATAATTGGGTGTTAAACTGTTATGCTTGCACATTAGATGAATATATAATAAAACAAACTATGCATGAAAGAATAAATAATTATGCATGATTATATTAATAAGTATGCACGTCATAATTGCTTATTCATTCATCCAGATGTTCTGCATTACAAACATATATGCAATGTCGTATATCTAACTAAGCAACTTGTTGAACTAAGTATGCAAAAGTCTCCTGTTAAGAATGCACGTTACAATTACAGTTGTTTGATATTATAACTGTATATGCACCGTTTTAATTATAAAATAGCAACATTGTTGAACTAAAATTGCAACAGTTATCAAAACTTGTTTTTCTTCTTATATTTTGAAGTAGGTACTACTCATGAGGAATCTCGGATTCAATTGGTGATATCGCCAAATTTAACAAAGTATTGGATGTCAATTGTCCAACAAGATATATAGCCTAAAGTCGGAGTGATATTTTCAAACCTTGATATTGCAAAGGAATTATACAGAAACTACAGAGCAAATAGTGGATTTGATGTGCGGACTTACACAACAAAACGGTTTAGAAGTGGCGTGATAAATAAACAGTATATGGTTTGCAATAGAGAAGAATTTAATCCAGAAAACTCACAAAATACTTCAAAGAGCATGTCACAACTACTCTGAGTCAAGTGTGGTTCCACGACACCGTGTGTCGAAAAGGGTTGGTTGCAAAGCTCGAGCAGTATTTGAGTATGATGGAAATGGGTACAAAATCGCAGAATTCGAAGAAAAACATTGTCACGCCCTGTCATTGGAGACACAATATCTCAATGCAAACCGACAATTGAATTACAGACACCAGAAATTTATTCTTAATTGTGTGAGAACAAACATTGGCACAGCTAAAAGCCATAGATTGTACAAGGAGATGCTTGGGGGAGATGCTAACGTTGGTGCTCTTAAAATGGATTTCAAGAACTACAAGAGACAACTTATGACTTACATGTTAGGAGCAGATGCACAACTCATCGTTCAAATATTCCACCACAAACAAGAAGTATGCCCATACATGTCATTTGAGTACACAGTTGATGGAAATAACAAATTAAGCAAGATATTTCGGGCAGACCCAATTTCAAGAAAAAATTACCTGTTGTTTGGAGATGTCGTCTCATTTGATGCAACCTACCACACTAACAGGTACCTCAACTCTTATTGGTAACTACTGCATATAAAAACAAAAAATATCTTATTATTAAAGTTGTGATAATACATTTGCAATATGTTCAAATTGTTATGATATATCTTAATGTTATAGTTGTGAGTGTAATGAATTAAATATGCAACATGGTTGAACTAAATATGCATTCATTTATAACTTAAAATGCATCAAATGTATATATAGAAATAAGTATAGAGATTTTATTTTGACACAGAAAAGTCTGCATGACTGGACAATTAAGTATGTATTTTTTTATAACTCAATAGGCAACTAGTGTAAATTTATATATTGTCATAACTAACTAATTTTTATTTTATACAGGTACAAAATGGTGTTTGTACCATTTACTGGAATAGACAACTATAAAAAGTGTGTAACATATGCAGCTGGATTGATTGTTAAAGAGGATGAAAAATCCTATATTTGGCTGTTGGAAAATTTCTTGAAGGCTATGGGACATGAACTATATTACATTGTTACCGACCAAGATCCCGCCATGAAGAAGGCTATCCAGGCAACTTTCAAACATGCGAGACATCGTTTATGCATGTGGCATATTATGGAAAAGGTAAATGTAAAGGTTGGTCCTACTTTAGCCAAGGATAATACA